AAGGAAGGAAGGAAGGAAGGAAGGAAGGAAGGAAGGAAGGAAGGAAGGAAGGAAGGAAGGAAGGAAGGAAGGAAGGAAAGAAATCTGGGCTGAAAAGTAAAAAAAAATGTGGGCTAAAAAATAATGGCTGCAGTCCTTCGTGATCTCTGAACAGGCCAGATGTGAAAGCTGGGAGAAATCAATTTTCCTTGTTTAAGGGCTCCAAACAAAAGTTTTGCACCCCCAATCCCATCAACCGTTGCCATGCTGGCCGTGCAACCTGGGGCTGATGGGGATTCCTAGTCAGAACAATTGCATGTATCCAGCGGTGGGATTCAAATATGACAACTGTGGATGCTGCATCCGGAAGTCCATTCTGGGCCTGGGCAACACAAAATTAGCTACCGGTTCTGCCAAAGTGGTGCGAACTGGCTGAATCCCACCCACTGGATGTATCTAATTAGCTATCCCTGCTTTAAGCTGTCCCTTTAGCTCTGCAAACGTGGCCCATCTTGCACACTCTGGGGTCCTCATCGCCCTGGTGGCCACGCGCCACACCCCTGCCTCTGTGGCAGAACTCTGACCGTGGAACTCTCTGCCTCCTGACATTAGTTTCTCTTTGGGTGAGTGTGTGTGCTGCTGGTTTTTTCAACAACCTTTTTTCAACAATCCTTCCCTGATTTCATTAAACGTATTAAAGTTTGGGTTTTTCCTTTTCCTTTGGTTAGCTGGTGCTCCTTCTGGAGAGTTTTTGTGACACATGGCAATTATTTTTTGTTACCTTTCCACCGATTTGTGTATGTAACCTGGTTAGCTGTCCTGACACTATTTTTTTTGATCGGAAAAACTATATATAAATCACATCAATATTGGTAAGCAGACTCAACCTTTAGTGAACTTTCTCCAAAGCAAAAGCAAACCTGGGTAAATATGGTGAATATATTGCTTACAATAGGGTACTGAGCACTGAATACAATCAGGGACACAAACACACTGCTTATGCTGAACACACCTTGGTGGGTCGTAAATTTAGTTTTTGCTATACCATCTTTCCTGCTCTGAAATAATAGAATTCAGCAGTTCTGGAGATTTAGCTTGGACAAAGTTTAACAGGTAACTGATGACTTTCCCCAGCCGTATGGTTTTATTCATAAGTGTTTAAATCAAATTTGCATGGCTTCCCATCTCACAAAAAAACAACTCTGGATGGTATACAACAATCGATTTTCCTTGAATTCAGAACACAGAGAACGCATTCATACAACACATTCAGCTTGGTTTTACCAAGTAGCAGGAGAGCTGCAAAAAAAAACACAGGAGTTTGATAACATTTCTCCAATTTACGAAAGCATATATTTTTTAATAACATTGTGAGTCAGAGAAGGTGCTACTGGACTCCTGTTTAGCCTGGTTACAAAGCCCGATTTGTAGACTTAACCATTTGCTAAATCAAAATTTAAAGGGGCTTGGTTAGCACAGCTCTTTAAACCACAAGAAAACTAACCAAAATTCACTGTAGCCCATGTTTTATCTGCAGCTGCAATGTTTGTAACTGATCTGGTTAAACATGTTGGTTGAACCGAGAGTGAAAGAGCATTTTAAAATATATTTTCAAAAAATATAATATTCCTTTCTACCCGAGAACAAGTTAATATATTTTCAGCCTTCCTTCACGAAGTGGTGCTTATTCGCAAGAAGAGCATTAGGAAAATGGAAGCTTACTTTTTTTAAAATTGCGAACATGAGTTAACTGAATTTTAAATATGAACCTTCACAGCTCCAAGAGCATTTACTATAATCGAGCTTGGCAAACCTTAATTTGAAAGAAAGGGATTTGCTTTAAACCAAGGTTGTCCAACCCTGGCCACTTTAAAACTTGTGTACTTTAACTCCTAAAATTTCCCAGCCAGCCATGTTGAAATCCACAACCCTGCTGTAAACTATCAGGGCTGTAGGCAGTTGAATGGACAGAGAGAAAAGAATGCTTGACCCATTGGGGAAGGGAGATGCAAATTCAAGAGTGAGTTGCCTTTTGGCAAAAGGTATACAAGTCACGCTTTGGGGAGACTCCAAAACAATAATACACAACATAGTCACGGCAGGAATGTTCTACTTTTCTCCCTAGATAAGGGGCAGCTTTCCTGGGACCCACCTACCTCTCAAGCCATGCTAAATTTATTTTAGGGCCCCCATGATAATTTCTGTGAGATTCACAATTCTGCACCGATATTCAAACATGATGCTCTGGATTATGGAATTCAGAAGTCCATGTCTCTTAAGCCTTCAGCCTGCCAAACCTGGTTTAAAACTACCCATCTGCATCAATGTTAAAGCAAACCCATAAGTCATCATACAGGTAGACCTCAACTTACAATCATTCATTTAGTGACCATTCAAAGTTACAACGGCCCTGAAAAAAGTGACTGAAAACCTGTACTCACACAACTGCAGCATCCCCACAATCATGTGATCAATATTTCGGTGCTTGGCAACCAGCCTATATTTAGGATAACTGCAGCATCCTGGGTTCAGGCAATCACCATTTGTGACTTTCCTGGTTGGCTTCCAACAAACAAGCAAAGTCAATGGGGGAAGACAGGTTGACTTAATGAATGCATGATTCACTTAACAAAAGCAGTGATTGACTTAACAGCCAGGCCAAAAACAGATCATAAAATCGCCCACGGTTCATTTAATAACCATCTTGCTTAGCAATGAAAATTCTGATCTTAGTTATGGTTATAAGTCCAGGACTACCTGCCCTTCTTTTCCTCTCCCATCCTCTCCCATCAAGACCAGTTTCTCTTTCAGCAATTCCCACTGGCCATCCTGGTTGCATTTTCTCCCGCAGCAGGACCTTCCATTGGAGATGACAATGCTGGTCTCAGAAACACCCACAACAAGAAGCACATTTGTACATTTCAGCAATGACATCTGTCAGCGGCATCTACTTAATCCAATTTGGCCACCAAGAGGGTGGACGCAGAGAGGAAACGTCAGAATAGATACCAATTTCCTTTCTGAAAATAAGAGTTGACTTACTTCTCGGTTCCCGGGGCCCATCAACGGTCACTTTAATCGCCCGGTGATATGTAGCAACCTGAGTAGGGTTGGTGAAGACTGTGATGGTCAACGTAAAGCTTTTTCCTTTAAAAGAAACAGCAAAGAGAGGAAATCAGAGGGGAAAAAGGCTGCATGAATTCAGAGAGCGATAGGATCCTCTTTAGTAAAGTATGTAGCTCCATTTAAAAAAAAACAACCTATAACAAAAATAGGACACACTAACAAAAGTCCTGTTCTGCATAGAGAAGTTACTCATCCATGTTGCATTTCCAAGCAGATCTGAAACTGAGTCCTTCTTGTTGACAATTCTGATTCTCAAGCGTTTCAGACTGACATCTAGAAGGACACAATATCAATGTTCTTATAAATCTTACAATAAGCTCAACACTGAACAATGCTATTTCAACTGTATTGAGGTATTTGCCAACCTTGTGTACACATGAACATTCACATAGCATTCTTAGGGGGTTTTTTTTGGGGGGGGGGCAGGAATGCCTTTGAGTCAGACTTGACTCCTGATGACTGCCTGGACAAGTCCCTGCAGTTTTGTTGGCAGGACTTTTTAAAGTGGTTTTGCCTGGCCTGTTTTTCCGAAGGCTGGGAGAGAAGGACTGTCCCAAGGACACTCTGCCGATTTTGTGCCTAAGGAAGGACTAGAACAGTGATGGCGAACCTATGGCACGCGTGCCAGAGGTGGCACATAGAGCCCTCTCTGTGGGCACACCTGCCGCCACTGCCGCCAGCTTGCACAGGTCCATTAGGCCACTGCTGGTGCCTGGAGCGGCAGCCCCACCCAGCACAAAGGAGGCGAAGCAGCTGGCTAGCAAGTTCAAGTAGAGGTGGTAGACCATGCCCCCATGTGCTCGCTGGTGTCTGTGTGCAGGGCTGATGGTGTCAGGCAGCAGCCCCCATGCCTCGCCTTGCCCCGCAACAATGGCACCCCTGCCCTACCCCCTGCCTCACCCTGCAGGACGAGCCTCCTGCCCACCGCCCCACCCACTAGAGACCCCCTGGATCTCCCTCATTCCTGTCCAGCCCCCACAGGCGTCCCCCCCACGAGCAACATCAAGGTGGCCACGTCCACCCCAGCCACACCCACTCAGTCTGCCGTGTCCACCACAGCCACACCCACCCAGTGGGCCACGCCCACACCCACACCCACCCCACCCCCCTGAGGGCACCACAATGCTGATGTGGCCCTGGCACTTTGCGATAAATAAGTGGGTTTTGGGTTGCGGTTTGGGCACTCGGTCTCTAAAAGGTTCGCCATCACTGGACTAGAACTCACCATCTCCTGGTTATTAGTCTGGTACCTTCAGTCACTACACCAAACTGGCTCTCAGCATTCTTAAATACTGTACAGCAGACATGTCAAACTCGCGACGTCACGTGACGTCACGCAACGTATCGGAGCTTTTTCGCCATTGCCGGCAATGGGGAAGGCGCGGCTCTGGTATGATGAAACCAGCCCGCGGGCTGGCAGTTTGACACCCCTGCTGTACAGGTAGACCTCGACTTACAACCACAATGAAGCCCAAAATTTCTGTTGCTAAGCAAGACAGTTGTTTGGTGAATTTTATCCCATTTTACGACCTTTCTTGGCACGATTGTTAAGTGAATCACTGCAGTTGTTAAGTTAGTAACATGGGGTTGTTGAATGAATCTGGCTTCCCATTGACTCTGCTTTTCAGAAGGTCGCAAAAAGTGATCATGTGACCCCTGGGACACTGCAAATGTCATAGCTACAAGTCAATTGCCAAATGTCTGAAGTTTGATCACGTGACCCTGGGGATGCTGCAACAGTTGTAAGTGAGAAAAATAGTTGTGTCATTTTTTTCAGTGCCATTGTAACTTTGAACGGTCACTAAAGGAACTACAGTAAGCTGAGGACTTGAATCTGGTGCTTTACTGTTCTAAATGCATAATACAGAAAGTCTATTTTTCAACGTCTGATTAAGTTGTGGCCATCTCTGGCTCTTATGGCAGTTTCCCATGTGCCAAGCTCTAAAAAGTCATTATTTTGATAAGAGCTACTTTGGTCTAGTCTAGTGCAGGGGTAGGCAACCTTGGCTCTTTTATAACTCATGGACTTCAACTCCCAGAATTCCTGAGCCAGCATGGCTCAGCTTGGAAACCTCTCCCTTTCCCCTCAGCACGGCTGCCTCAGGAATTCTGGGAGTTGAAGTCCACGAGTCATAAAAGAGCCAAGGTTGCCTACCCCTGGTCTAGTGGTTAAGGCACCAGGCTAGATAGCAAGAGACCACGAGTTCAAGTCCTACCTAAGCCATGAAAGTCAACTGGGTGACTTTAAGTTAGTCACTCTCTCTCAGCCCAACCCACCTCACAAGGTTGTTGTTGTGGACAAACTAGGAGGAGGAAGGTGTGTTGGATATGTTCATTGCCTTGAGTTATTTGTAAAAATAATAAAAGCGGGATACAAATAAAAAACGTATTTTAATGGAGAAGAGTTAATATTTTCCCATTTGAACCATTCAATAAAAAGGTGCTGGCAACAGATGAATAGTCATCTCATTATCTTTTGATGAAATATTACTTTTAACATTAAATGCAAATACATACGTCCGTTTCTCCTTTCAGTTTTACTAGTAATAATAACGTTCCAATCAGCATTTCTCTCATATTTACTAACATGAAATGTATCTTTCCCTCAGGGGTTATAATTTCAAATGTAATTTATTCTCAGCCCCAAATGTAGTTCTACCTATCTGTCCGTCTACATGTCTATTTATCCTTATAATTTGCTCCAATCCCACAAGGATTTGGATAGTAGTATTCAGCAACAAATACAAGCAAAAACGAACTCACATTAATTCCATCACCAGAAAGCAAAAACAACCTCAAGATCAGAGGCCATCACCCGCGGTTTTCTACACAACACCACTCCATTTTATCACAAACTGTTTAAAAATAATAAAATATTTTGATTTGTGCAATAAATGTTTTCTAAATCTAAGTTAAAACTCTATGCAAACCCCAATACCCCAATTTTGTTGCCACTTCATTTGCCAGGATATATTTTGGTGATTCTAAATTATTCATCAAGTTGTAAAACTGACCCACAACTTTTCTTCCGTCTACATTAGATAGATGATATTGTTTCAAATTTTGTGTATTTCTTAGATGAAACTTGTTTTCCTAAAATATATATTAGCTGAATGTTTAACTTGAATCATGGTATAAATTAGATTGCCAGGATCTCTTATCTCCAATTAATTTAATTTTATTTTATTTTGCTTTATATCAGCCAACCCCCTTTCTTTTGATCTTGACTTTTCAGTTATTCCTGTTACAGTATAGGACAGTTAGTGGAATTTGTTTTGGGTCAAATAAATCATAATACTTATTTCATCATTTTCAAATTTAATGCTTGAGGATTTTATTTAACAAATATGGTCTAATATTGAGGAATGTTTTTATTACATTAGAAGAGCCAGAGATTTTCCCAACTGAATAAAACATAAATATAAATTATCTCATAATGCTTTTTATGTATGGAAAACTTCTGGTTTTTTTTCATAAAATTGTCTAAAGTTTATCTGAAAATCTTTCTTTCTCTTCTACCCCAGAAGAATGTAGTTGTTGCTTTTGGTTCGTTAATTATAATAATAGACGAGGATACCTTAAAATAAATGAATAGGACATTTCATTTTCTCATCTAGGAAATGTTTTAATTGAAAGGGCATTTATGCCAAACGTATGCTCTACCACAGTGTTTTTCAACCTGGATCGGTTTCTGAGGTGTGGACTTCAACTCCCAGAATTCCCCAGCCAGCCTTGCTTGCAAGGCTGGCTGGGGAATTCTGGGAGTTGAAGTCCACACCTCAGAAACCGATCCAGGTTGAGAAACACTGCTCTACCACTTTCTTGGTGACCCCCTCCATATCTGACAGGGAATTCAGCAAATTCCTAATGTCTGACTCATCTTCCAAGATGGTTTTCATTTTTGTGGCTTTGTGGTTTCCAGGTGTACACACATAGGTCTTTCTTGAACGTTCAAATTGCAAATGTGAGGAAAGTGCCCCGAAGTCATCAGGAAACCTTCTCTACCTTCAAAACAAGGAGAGCTCTGGTGAATTTGAATTGAGTTCCTACCACCCTGTCTTCAAACCACATAATCACAGCTTCCTTTACTGAATAGATATTCAGCCACTGACAGTTGGAGGTGTAGTTATAGCAGTGCCAGTTGGCTGGTAAACCAAGGATTGTGGCCAAATAGAAGAAGTTGATAATGAGACTGGTTAGTTTTGCCTGCATCTCAGATCTTGAATATAACCGAGGCCACTTTTATCTTAGCACAGTGATGGCGAACCTTTTAGAGACTGAGTGCCCAAACTGCAACCCAAAACCCACTTATGCATCGTCGAGTGCCGGGTGGGTGTGGCCCATTGGCTGGGTATGGCCCATTGGGTGGGCGTGGCCCATTGGGTGGGCGTGGCTGCGGTGGTAACAGCAGACTGGGTGGGACTAAAAAGTTCAATCAATCAATTCCAACTTTGCAAGATCTTTTTTTTCCCCGCGAGAAGTTGAAATTGACTGATTGAACCTTTTTTATATATATATATACATGGTGACGGAGGCCTAAAGAGAAAAGGTTTTATAAAACTCAGCTGAAGGCCTAGGACTGGGGCGACGGTGCGCATGTCCACAGAGAGGGCTCTGAGTGCCGCCTCTGGCACCCGTGCCATAGGTTCGCCACCACTGTCTTAGCATATGAAGCATATGAAGAAAAAGTTGTAGGAATTGGATATGGCTAGTCTAGAGAGAGAGAAAAAGGACTAGAGATGACATGATAGCAGTGTTCCAGTATTCACCACATAGAAGATGGGGTCAACTTATTTTCCATAGCACCCAAAGGCAAGGCAAGAAAAAAAAATGGATGGAAACTAATCAAGGAGAGAAGCAGCCTAGAACAGTGGTGGCAAACCTATGGCACGGGTGCCAGAGGTGGCACTCAGAGCCCTCTTTGTGGGCACGCACGCCGTCGCCCCAGTCCTAGGCCTTCAGCTGGGTTTTATTAAACCTTTTCGCTTTAGGCCTCCGCCGCTGTGTGCAAAAAAAAAAAA